CCCCAAAACCCCAAAACCCCAAAACCCCAAAACCCCTCAATTCTTTAAATGAGGAAAGTTATTGTGAGAGATTAAGATTAAATTAAAATTTTCAATTAAATCGTAAGACTTGATTTTTAATGGGAGCGACTTGTTCTTGCACGGATAAAAGTGACACAGACAATGAGATTAGAGTTGATCAAGTAATTTACACTTACCTTAAATTTATAGAAAGAATAGAGATAGAAAAAGACTAAATCAGCTTATGATAGTGTGACTCTAGATGAAAAAACATAGGTAGAAATGATGGAATTTATATAATTATAGAAAATATTGAAACAAAATATACCAAAAATCGTTAAAATATAAGCCCTGTTTAGAGGCCATAAAGCTAGAAAGATACTGAAGAACTAAGAGATCAAATAATAGTTACTTTTTGATGACCCAGGGATTGAATTTAAGGAAGAGGTAGTATTTGAAAATGGTGCTGTTTACAGAGGGTAAATGCTAGAAAATAACAGACATGGGTATGGAGTGTAGATCTGGCCAGATGGGGCAAAGTATGAAGGTTATTGGAAAGAAAATAAAGCTCATGGAAGAGGAAAGTTTTGGCATGCAGATGGCGATGTATTTGATGGGGAATGGAGAGATGATAAGGCTCACGGTTACGGTGTTTACACTCATGTGAATGGGGCTAAATACGATGGTCAATGGATGAATGACATGCAACACGGCAAAGGAGTAGAGACTTGGGCAGATGGGTCTAAATATGATGGGTAGTACTATGAAGGAATGAAGCACGGCTAGGGATATTATATCTGGGCAGATGGCTCTGAATATAAAGGTGATTGGTTTTAGAATCAAATTTAAGGCTTTGGTGTATATAAATGGCCTGATGGTAGAGCATATGAAGGAGATTGGCTTGCTAATAATATGCACGGAAAAGGTTTATATACCTGGAAAGATGGAAGAGTCTATAAGGGAGACTATCTAAATGATAAGAAACATGGAATGGGAACGTATACCTGGACAGATGGTCGCAGATATGTTGGGCAGTGGGAAAACGGCAAATAAAACGGTGAAGGCAAATATCTACTTCCAAATGGAGTTGAAAGAGAGGGATTCTGGCAAGATGGAAAGAGAATCAGTTGGAAAGATGAGACGAAATAACCTACTCCTCCTAAGATGAAATGATTGAATATAGATGCCAACTCTTCATCAAATGATTTTAGAGAACTTAAAATATGTGAATGATAACATTATAATGTTTAATATGAATCGCTTTAACTAATGCTTCGAATAGGAAATTTGTTTGATCATTATTTTAATTAAAGCATTAAAACATCATCAATGCATGAAATTGGATTATTGTTTATCTTCTAACTCTCACTGAATTTTCTTCTGATATTTGGCTAAGAAAGCATCTTCAGCATCTTCGAGTCTAAATTTGTAGCTCAAAATCTCGTAGTTTTCTTTTTCACTCTTGAATAAGGCTTAATAGTTTTTCTAATCCATTCCTCCTTATCCCATCATCTAGCTTGGATCTATTTAAGTTTAAATATCAAATTCATTTACTTGGCATCATTTGTGACATGTCATCCATCCCATCAGAGTCACCAAGGATTAAGTTTAGAACACCTTAAAGACCGAAGATTAAAAGGAAACACCTGTATTCAGTGTTATTATTATCAATCAATGATCAAATGGAAATAGCAATTTAGTGAGATTGAATAAGTAACTTACCAACTCATAGAAGAAACATAGCTGGGATCTAAGGCTTAGAGGTTAAGTCCCTGTTGAAGTAAACCCTTGAATTTTTATCCTAGTGGGAAGGGAACTTGAGCAATGATAAATCCTGAGAAAAATGATCCAACTACTGAGAATAGGAAAATATTGAACATTCCTTGAACATTTTGCTTCATCATATTAGACATCATATCTGGGTTCATCATAGCCATTGGATTGACGCCTCCTACCTTTTTGTTGAAGTAGCCATCGTTTTCTTTGCAGAAGTATGACTTTCTAACTTTGACTGCATCTTCAGGAAGATATTCACACCCTTTTCTGATTCTTGTACTTCTTGCCAATGCATTGCTATAAGAATCAAATTAAGATTAAGCTGCAATGAGGAGTGTTAAAAATGACTTACTTATCCTTTACATCAGACTTAACAGATTCAAGAAGTTATAGTACATTGATTTCACCTGGGTCTTCCTTGGTAAAATCAGCTAGCTTTTCAAAAATGGTCTTCTTTAATGCTCTAAAGCTCATATTTGCTGGCTGAAGTACTTGATTGTCAGGAGCATACATGATCTTAGTAACATAGTACCTAAGTAATGCGACGATGACCATTAGTATAATAAGTGGGAAGAACACATTGTCTCTGATTCTAGGATCGATATAGAGTGTTTGTTTCATTATGATTTAGACGCAAGTATGTGTGTATTTTATGGGTTAGTAGCCCTATTGATAAATTAATAAAAAGTTATATAACATAATTTTATTATGAACGAATTTAAAGTAATGGCAGCTAATAATCTCAATAAACAATAACAGCAACATTATAGGAAGAAAAGTCAGACTCAATTCAATAAGTCAGGTTCACTCTTATCTGAGATAATTAACGCTGAAAATTAATAGCCCTAAGATGACTAAGTCCTAAGTGTACGTTAATTTTTACCGCCACACCAAGCCAGTGCCTCGAGAAGTAATCTTAAAAAACCTAAATTCAATAAATAATTAAACGGAGCTAATAGTGATCATGAATTGGAACAGGACTTAGAGGTAATGGGCATGAATTTAGTAATTTCAGATAAAGGTGAACTGAACTTAAAAGGTTAAAAAATCTGTATCATTCCCAGATCTATATATCAGATGAAATTTGATCGAGTTCAGCTCCTGGACATCAGAGAAAACGAATTAGTTAAACTTGAAGAAGAAATCTGCAAAAACTTATGCTAACTTAAAAAGCTTGATGCTAGAAAAAATAAGATCAGGGAAATATCGCCTCACATCAAAGCTATGATGCAACTGAAAGTATTAAGACTCGATTAAAATGAAATTCAGAGTTTGCCCGATGAAATTGGTCAGTTATAATTGCTCACTGAACTTTCTTTTTCATGCAACAAAGTCACTGAAATTCCTCTCTCCATCTCAAAACTGAAGCAACTTAAAATCCTAAACATGTCAGAGAATAAGATTAAGCACTTGCCCTAAGAGCTTGGAGAACTCAGGGAAATTAGACATCTATACATTCATGGAAACAGATTCGCTAGTTTCCCATGTTCTTTTGTCAATATATCGCATCAACTTGAAGAGTTAAGTCTGGAGTGGTTTATGTACGCCAGACCCGCTAAACCTAAGCTTGTGAAAAGAAATACTCCAGAAGGAAATGAGCTTCTTTAATAACTAGAATTATTGTGCTAACTTCTTCAAAAATACAGCATGACTGAATGTGCTCTAGTTACATTTTTAGAAAATTACTCTGAGAGATTAGATATCAATTGCGTGGATAATAGATAAAGAGCTCCTTTGCATAATGCAGCAATCAAGGAAGATATTGGAGTATTGGAAGGTCTTTTAGTAGCTAAGGCAAAACCAAATATATTAGATAAAGATTACTGCACTCCTCTTTGTTTGGCCATTCGAGAGGATAACTTCGATGCAGCTATAATACTGATTAATGCTGATGTTGATGTCAATCTAGGAGGGGGTATATATGGAAGTCCTATGCATTTAGCAGTAGTTAAACTAGAAGTTTGGATTGTGAAAGAACTAATAAAAAAGAAAGCCAATGTTAATAGAACTGATAATGAAGGAAACACTCCGCTTCATCTATTAATGAATGTTTTTTCTAAGAGTCCATAAAAATGTGGATCTATTGCAGAGCTATTAGTATTGAATGGAGCTAAGGTCAACATCAAAAATAATGATAATTATGCTCCACTTCATTCTGCAGTGAAGAAAGGTCAAGAAAAAGCAGTATAAACCATAATTAGAATTAACAATATGCTGAGAGAAAGAAATTTAGAGCCATTTGATTTGAATCTACCTGGTGGAGCATTGCAATTTGCAGCTGTTCATTTGGCTGCTCATGGTGGTTATGTCTAGATAGTTAAAGACTTAATCCAGGCAGGAGCTGATATCTTTCTGAGAAATCTGAATGGTTAATTACCTCGCCACTGTGCAAAGGGAAATTACATACTTACTAAATACATTAAGTTATGCGAGTAAGCGAAAATGAAATAATAATATGGAACTTATCACATCAACAATTAGTATGAGCTGCTATCAACAGTAACACAAAAGAAAAACAAGAATCATGATAATAATATGGGATAAGATAAAAAGAAGTCAAATATTGAAGCAATTGCAGATGAATATCAAATGAACTATGATACATTTATGAATAATATGGCTTAGCTAAAGGTTATGAAAGCTTTTACAGAAATAGATGTAGTAAAAAAATCAAGGCAAATAAGTGAAATAAACATGAATTCAACTGTTGTTTCCTCGTTTTAACAATAGACTTTGCACAGACAGTAGAAGTCACTCTCTTAAGAGCATTCAAATAGCATGTAGCAGAGTTAGACTCCGACTGCAAAAAATTCATTCAATAGAATAGTAATAAATCAATAAGACATGTAGAATGCTATGAAATCTCAAGTCTTTAATCCCTAAGATCTAAAGCCAGATTCAAAATTTACCAAACTTAACATTAAAGCAGAAGAAAAAAAGATTAATCTTTTTTATCTCAAAGATCTGATAGTAAAGGAAAACTCATCTTAATAAGAAAAACTTGATGCATTATTCAAAATAAAGAAAAATCAGTTTAAGCATGTATTTAGTGCAGCAATGAGATCATTACTTCCAGAAATCGATAGAATTAAGGATTAATTTATTTAAAGAGAAATAATACAAGCAGTGGGTAATAGTTGCTAATATGTTTTACTTCAACCGATGAGAGATCTTCTTATGAGATCAGATTTAGACTAAGATTTGATTGAAGAAATTGAAGATTCAATAAAGTCATTAGAAGTTTGTGCTAGCAAACCTAAGTCCTACAGTATGCAAGTAAATGTAATAAACAACAGTAAATCTTCATTGAACTCATTAATGCAGCAGGTAAAAAATCCTTCAAGTTTTATAAGCCAAAAAAATGTCGAGTCACCTGAAAAAAGCAGAAATGTTAATAGTTTTAAAATGAAAGGAATGTCATCATTATCTGGAAATACACAAAACATGTAATACCATCCAAATATAAATAGAAACTCAGCGGGAACACCAGCAGCTACAACTTAGAATTACCAAAAACCTAATTTTTTAGAAAATAATTAAGAATAAGCAGGAATATTAAATCAATCTAAGTTTGGTCATCACACTCATCAGTAAAGTTTGAAATTAGGTCTAACCTAGCCTTTAAACAACAAAAAGGTGAATGGTAATTAGATAGGGACTACAAAGAGTTCTACACCCTATAATGGGATACACCATGATCATCATAAATTTATTGATGCTAACTTTTCACAGCATATTCCTCAGAAAGAACATTATCGTGTTTCTTAAAATGGAAGGAAAAAGATTATTAATAATAATAAGCATTCGTCTAACTTGAATCTTAATAATGGAGGGTTTTCGAAGACATTACAAGGTTTTTAAACGACAAATAAATTTAACAACTAATCTGATAACTTAAAAAGAGATTAATCTCGCCCTCAAAGCAAGGAAATCTCAAACTCTCTTGAGAGAGAAGAGGTAATATCAGCGGAATATGATCCCACTGGCAGCTACAATTACAATATAAAATAAAGTCATTTGTAGAGATTTAACTAGAACATTAGTAATATAGGAGGTGTTAATAAGCATTAGATTGGATCTAGATCTCATAGTCAAAGGAGTAGTATAAGTATACCAGCTAAAAAATGAAATTTCAACCTAATACATCTCTAATGCAAATATTATTAACGCTTTTAATTCATTACTAGAAAATCAAGAAAATCAAGATTTCATGGGGTTTTGGGGTTTTGGGGTTTTGGGG